CGGATTTGCCCTCCGCGGTTATGTCATCGCGCTAGGGTCGCCTTTTTCCTTAACGCTTCAGACGGCGCGGATTTGCCCTCCGCGGTTATGTCATCGCGCTAGGGTCGCCTTTTTCCTTAACGCTTCAGACGGCGCGGATTTGCCCTCCGCGGTTATGTCATCGCGCTAGGGTCGCCTTTTTCCTTAACGCTTCAGACGGCGCGGATTTGCCCTCCGCGCTTATGTCAGCGCGGATAAGGGCTTCGCGGTTTTGTCGGTGAACCATTTAAGAGCCTATAGAGAAGGGTTTCTTAACATTGGCAGCTTTTAAGAGTATGGACTGCAGCTCTCCAAATTCTCAATGGCCATGCTAGCTGTGGAATACTGGGACTTGCAGTCAGGGTGAAAATCACTTACCTTTGATACTGGCTCAGTAGCAATGTGAGTGCACGTGTGCGTGCGCACTTGCCCCCTCTGCGCATGTGCAGGACCTTCTGCGCATGCGCAGAGCGTGCCTGCAAACAACAGGGGGGGGAATCTGCTATGCCACATGATTTAGGTTAGCTAGACAGCAGGAAATCCTGTTTTCTAGCTAATATAAGTCATGGGTTACAGGTGATAGTCGGAAGAACCTTGTTTTTTTTAAACTACTGGTTAAAGCATATTTTACTACCGGTTCAGGCGAACCGGTCCGAACCTGTAGCATTTCACCCCTGGTTACAGTCCACACCCCTGGAAATTGCCAAGTTTGAGAAATACTGCTCCAGAGGAGCCAATGTACCCCTCTCCAAAAAATAATAATAATTTGCTTTTAGAGCTGCCACTTTGGAATGGAATGGAATAGAATAGAATAGAATAACAGAGTTGGAAGGTACCTTGGAGGTCTTCTAATCCATCCCCCTGCTTAGGCAGGAAACCCTACACCACCACTTCAGACAAATGGTTATCTAATCTCTTCTTTAAAACTTCCCGTGTTGGGGCATTCACAACTTCTGGAGGCAAGTCGTTCTAACTGTCAGGAAATTTCTCCCCAGTTCTAAGTTAGCCAAATGCAAAAATCTAATCAACCAACAAACGTCTAAAAGCTACAGGGGGGGGGGGGGAAGCAATCATCTAACAATCCTTCAAGTTGTAGCCTCCTAATCCAGAATGCTTAACCTAGTTAGTGAACATTCCTCCCCATGCGCAGAAGGACAAGCTGCTTACAAAATGGACAGCACCTGTGCTGCTGTTGCCCTGTCCCTTTAAGGCCTCTCCCAAGCCAGCGCAGCAATTATTGCCTATAAAAGCAGAGTGGAAGCTGGGTGTGGTTGTGTTGGTTGTGGGAGACTAGGAGGGAGGGAAGGAAGGAAGGCAGGCGCGTGTTCCTGAAGCAGCCTAAAGCAAAGCTACTATTCTACAGCAGTAGGATTTGTTAAGAAGTAGTAATAGATATGTAGTAAGGAAGACAAAAGGGGGAGTAGTGAGTACTAACTACCCTTTGAGTATTTGTGTGTATGTGTGTACCTGTGGACCTGTCTGATATTTTAGCTCAGGTTTTGGAGGCCGTTGAGTTGGGTCTGTGTAAAAAGTGCCTGTCACACAGACCTGAGACCTAACTAATGGTCATGTAGCCATTGAAAGGGTGGCGTTCAGAGCCTATCAAAATTACTATTGTAGAACATTCCAAGCTCTACATACTATGGGGAGAAAATATATATCCGTTGCGTTTAACTACATCCAATTTATCTACATTTAATTAGAATTTGCTCAGCGATTCAGGCCTTTCTGCCTCTTCATTATCTGTCAAGGACTTTTTTTTTTGAGTTATTGTAGAAATTGTATCTAACCCGCTGGTCTTTTGCTAGCCTGCTTCCTTTCATTTTCCTAAACATGAATAATGGTGCCTTTTCCAAAGATTCTTGAAAATGGGAACAAACAAAAAAAACAAAACCCCAAGGCATCTGCAGGGGAGAGGTGTAGTTTAGAAAACCAAGCTCAAAACCTGCCTTTTTTAAAAAAAAAAAATGTGCTGCAATTTGAAAAAAAGAAAAGGTTTTCAA